TCTTCTTCCTTCTTTATTCTTTCTTCTTTCTTCTTTCTTCTTTTTCTTCTTTCTTCTTCTCCATCCCCATTTATCTGCTCAAATGTCTCAGCCTTGCCCCCCGATTGTCTTTATCTGTGCTCCACTTTCCTGCCTTACACCCAGCCATCCTGATCCATGAAATAAAGCTGGAGCTGAGGTGGGATGGGAATCTCCTCAGAGGGCAGGGAGGGTAAGGTACTAATTCCTAGCCTCCTATGTGTCCACTGCTCTTCCTCCCGGTAGCCCAGAGTTTTTAGAAAAGTCTTGCTTCATTGTCCTGGGATTCCTTGGCTGTGTTGCTGGAATTTAAGGGGAGAGGGAATTGTGGGTTCTCAGCTATGGATTAAATGCAAGATGTTCAGTAATCCAGCCATCCTTTATGACAGCCCCCAAAGGCAAGAGGTGTCAGGTTGTGAGATCCCACCCTTCCTCCTTCGGGAAGCTCAGGAAAAGGGGTGTCCCATCCAGGAGGAGCCCCCAAGGTGCCCTTAGGGAAGGAAGCCTCATTTCCACAGCTCCAGGACAATGGAAGGCTCTAAAAGCAAGGCTGGGATGGCTGCCATATATATGACTTGGTATGAAGATGGGAAGGTGGCTGTCACGGTTTATATCTGGACCCCCCCCAAGCCTCATGCATTCAGGTGGGGTTGGGGGAGTTGATCGGATTGTGGATGTGCAATAATCATAGGTAGATTAGGCTACTGGTGAGTTTAGAGCTGACTTGCTGTTAGGAGGTGGGGTCTAGTGGAAAGATGTGTGTCACTAGGAGCACTTCCTCGAAGAGTTTATCTTCTTCCGTAGCTCTTCCCTTCTCCCTCTGCTTTCTCGCTGCCATGCCATGAGTGTACTCCTGTGCCATGCCCCTGCGTCGTGCCACCTTGTCTGGGAGCCAGACGACCATGAACTGAAATCTCCACAAATTGGGAGCCAAAGAAACCTCCTTTAAGTCATAGGTGTTGGGTAGTATGTCTCAGCAGGAAGAAAGTGACTAGGACAGTAGCCGAGAGGTGCAGCTGTGTTGCTCTCTGGAGAGCCTTGCTTTTGAGAATGCAGGTCTAAAGCTGGGAAGATGGTGCTGGGGCCAACAGGTACACTGCCAGATGGAAAAAGCCAGGCAGAAGCACTCAGGGCCACAAAGAAGCTTTCAGTAATTCTGTTTGGAGCAGAAAGAAGGAAGAAGAGAAAGCCCAGTGTGCTGTATTCGTGGGTCACAGGATGGAGCCGCAGCCCAGGGAGAGGGGGCCCAACTATTGGCAAGAGGGAGCTGGGGCCAGTGAGGACACAGCAGGCAGCCCAGCCCTATCCATGGCTCAAGTGTGGAAGCACCCAGAAGGCTAGAGATGGAAGACAACTCATGGCCTTTGAAGGGAAGAGGATGGAGACCAGGAGGCTGCCTCAAGGGAGGCTAGATGGAGAGGAGACTGAGGAGAGCAAGACGGAAAATCAGCCTGACTGTGTGGTGGAGTCGATGATCCAGAGGTGCAGGGTGCATTCAGCAAATCCAGCCCTAGACAGATCTGCCCTTGATGTCTGATTCTGTCAGTTACCTGGGAGAAATTGGTGAGCCCAGCACAGGCCCCAAAATGCAAATAGAGGAAAGCCCACCTTTTAACCTGCTCGTGGGCAGTGGTGACTTTCCTCTTGGCTGAAGGTTTGTGGAAAACATGTTCACCCCAGCAGTGGGTGGCTCTCCCAGGCCAGAGGTGTCAGCCAGAGGCCAGAGCAAACAGGCACCGAGCTCTGTCCCCAAGACACTGGCCGTATTCCATCCTCCTGGTCTCGGTAATATCCACCGGTGGCATTCACAGGAGGTTTGCCAAAGGTTAAGCACCTGGGCTTGGAGGTTGTGCAAATGCTCAGCAACTGACTCTTTGTGTTCTCATTAGACACCCTACCCACTGTGTAGCCCAGGCTCCTGAACACCTTTCAAAGTGGGGCTTTTCCAGCTCAGCTCCCTGCCCAGGTCTTCACACAGCACCACAGCCAGGACCAGTGCTGGTGCTGGAGCTCCAGGTCTCGAGCGCTGAGCCTGGCTTGATGTGCTTAGCTCCCCTACAGCCAGACATGGATGCTGAGCTCTGAGCTCCCTCACTGCCTTCTCTCTGCCAGGGACTGGTGTGTCCACCCAGAGGTGGCTTCCAGGAGGCTGAGCCACCTCCTCCTCCCCTATGTGCTTGCACAGGGACCTCAACTGGCTTTCAGGACAGGGAAAACCAGGTCCCTGGCCCCTTTTAGAAACATTACCTGGGGCTGCAGATGAGGCTACTTCCTCCCATCCCAAGTTTGCAACATTTCTACTGCATGTGCTCAGAGTGACCGGCCCCTTCCCTGAATCTCTGCAATTGGCGCAGCTTGTCCATGCACACCCTTGTTCACATGTTCACACTTCCACACACTTACCCACCAGCGAGCTAGATGCTCAAATTCACTGCCACCTGTGCAGACCCACGCATACTCATGCTTCCTCATGTGACCTCACCCTTCACACCTACTCCCTTAGACACGTGCCCTGCCTCACGTGATCCTTACACGAGATATACCCCACTCACACCTGTTCACGCACACACATTCTCATGCACACCTTTCCCCATAACCCACCCTCCCTGTGCTCACAGATGCCCCTGGTTGTGTTGGCTTGCTCGTATACTCATGCACACTAGCTGCTGGGCCCATGCTTACCTTGCCCTCTACTCCCACAGTCCCTGCATGCCCTGACCTGTTGGTTTTTCTGTGTTGCAGTCCTTTCAGGAGCTGGACGACAGCAGCAGTGAGTCTAGTGACCTGCAGCTGGAGGAGACCAACTCCCTCCAGGTCCAGAACCAGAGCCTCACTGACCCGCGGGCAGAAGACAGGCCCCTGGTGTTCTTTAACCTCAAGATTGACAATGAAAGTGGGTTCTCTTGGGGCCACCCTGTCCCTTTCTAGCTTAGTCTCTGAGTCCCCAGGAGAAGTGCAGACAGAGCTGTCTGCAAGGCCCGGGCCAGCCCTGAGCCCTGGCCAGTGATGGCCGGGCACACAACTCACCGTGGCTGCCCTAGGACCTGAGGTACATGACTTGGTGGTATGAATAAGGATACCAGCTGAGAGCAGGGCCTGGCTGTGGGAGGAAGGCAAGCACCCTGTGCATTCACCCCTGACCAGACCTCCTCTTGGGCAGAGAGGCCAAGGAATGCTCTGTGACCAGGAACAGTGGCAGGTTTTTTTCCCGAGACCGGTCATCCCAGCAAGGCCATGGCCCTAAGTACACGGCTGACCTGCAAGAGGGGACTCAGGAAGCTAACAGAGCCAGGGCCATTGGAGAGATGACCCTTTGCTCCCAGCATTTGCCCGGGCCCTGCAATGTTTCCCTGGAGCAGGAGCCCTGGCCCTGGCCTGAGTGTGGTCTTGACACTGGGGCAAGCCTCACCAGCCAGAAGCATCAGGACTTCAGATAGCATGGGGTGCTGGGTGCTGAGGAGACTGGAAGCCTTAGCCAAGAGACGGGGTCAGGAAGAAGCAGTCTCTGGCCTCTGGTATAGGTGAGAGAAGACAGAGGAGAGTGACTTGGCTCCACAAGTTTGGCAAACTCCAGCGTGGGTGGGGTGGAGGTCAGCTGACCTCCATCTGGTGGGTGAGGCCTGTGAAGGACAGTCTGGCCTCTCCTTATGACCTTGGCCTTGAAGCCAGGTTGGAGCTGCATGTGGCGGCTGTGGCCTCATTCTGCCAGTGGCCCGGAGGCAGGAACTCTAGGAGGCGGGTCAGACGCACCCTCCACAGCATCGTTGGTGCCCTCAGGCCTCACCATGCCCTTCTCTCTGCCCAGCTCAGAAGATTAGCCAGCTGGCGGCCGTGAACCAGGAAAGCAAGTTTCGAGTGCTC